GAGTTACAGAAGCTGTGAGCTGCCTGATGTGGGTGCTGGACTGAACTCAGGTCCTCTGGGAGAGCAGCAAGTGCTCTTAACCACTGAGCCATCTCCTCATCATCCCAGCTCCCTTTTTTTTTTTGAAACAAGGTCTTACTGCATAGCCCTAGGCTGGTTTTGAACTTGTAGAGATCCAGCTGAGTACTGGGATTAAAGGCAAAAAAGCTTTGGTTTTTGTTGTTTTGTTTTAGTTTTAGTTTTTGGGACAGGATCTCACTATATAGTGAGTTCCAGGACAGCCAGGGTTATAGAGTTCTGGAGGCAGAAACAAAGCAGATCTCTGTGAGTTTGAGACCAGCCTGCTTTGCCTCTGCCTCCAGAGTGCTGGTATCAAAGGTGTGTGCCACTATATCTAGCTAAAAAACAAAACAAAACAAAACAAACAAACAAACAAAAAAACCTTTTTCTTTTGCTTTGGTTTCTTGAACTAAAAGCCATTTTTTATGTTTATTTATTCTGTGTGCATATGTTTACATGTGTGCATGTGTTTACATGTGTGCATGCACCTCTGTGTTGGTGTGGAGGTGAGGGGACAACTGGTAGCATTTGGTTTTCTCCTTTGGTCATGTGTGGGGCGTTTGCCCACCACCCCCACAGCTTCCCAGAGTTTTCTTGAGTGTGAGCAGCAGGAAATATTAGATAGAAGGATTTATAGCGGAGAATCTTGCGGAGATAAACAGATAGAAAATAAAGGATAGCCTCGAGAGGGCCTGGAACCTATTCCAACAGGCCCCAACTGTCTCTGGCCCAGGGTTTTTATAGAGATGCCAAGGGGTGGAGCAAAAGACCTCCTCCCCCAGCACAGCCAAGTGCAGACCATCTCAGACACCTGCACTCAGGCCCGTGGTCCTGATCATCCTCTATTCGGACCCGCTGGGTAAAGCCACGAGGAACCCGAGAACGGGCTCCCACAGTCATGTGGGTCAGGGATTGGATTCATGGTGTCAAATTTGGCGGCAATTGCTTTTGCCAGCTGAGCCAATTCGCTGGTCCTGTCTTGTTTTACTTTTAAAGAGACGGGATTGCTATCTGCAGCCCAGTGTGGCCTTGAACTCACTGTGTAGCCCAGGCTGTCCTCAAATTCTTAATTCTCCTGCCTCAGCCTCCTGAGTGCTAAGATTACAAGCAAATGCCACGACATCTAGCTTGGAGCTTATATTCTGATGGGCAAAAAAGGGGAAAAAAATAAGTAAAAGGGTGAAGGCTAGTTAGCTGGTTTTGTAGCTCGAGAGTGATGGTAAAGTACTTTCCAAGCATGCACAGGCCCTGGGTTTAGTCCCTATGGATGCAATAAAAAGGGATGAGGAAACAGGTCATCGGCACATGTGACAGAGTCCACTACAGTTAGAGATACGGACAAGTGCAAATACCCTGTGGCAGGGGTGTGCCTGGCATATTGTAGCCTTGTGGGACTCACAGGAGGCCAGAGTAGTTGGGGAAGTGGAGCAGGGGAGTGGGTACATGAGGTCAGTGTCGGGGCTTGTAGGCCAGCAGAAGGATTTTGACCCGTACTTGATCTAAGAGAGAAAATGACTAGTCAGGTGGTGGTGGCACACGCCTTTAATCCCAGCACTCGGGAGGCAGAGCCAGGCGAATCTCTGTGAGTTAGAGGCCAGCCTGGGCTACAGAGTGAGTTCAGAACAGCCAGGACTACACAGAGAAACCCTGTCTGGGGAGGGGGGAGAGATTGGGCAGATGAGGAGGAGGCAACAAGGAGAGAGAAAACAGGCAGTCAGCAAAGTAGGAGAAAAAAGAGAATGATGTCCTGGGAGCCAGGTGAAGAAGAATCAAACAGTGTCCAATGACAATTACAGTTCAGGGGGTAAGCAGTAAGGAAGAAAAAGGAGTGTGCCAGGAGAGTGTTGAGTGTGAGACCTGACCTAGTTAAGAGCCGGGGAAGACTCCCTGGGGCAGAGGAGACATTTCAGCTGCAGGCTCTCCTGCTCTCTTTATTACCCACTAAAAGCCCGCCTCCTCTGCCTGCTGCTGTTTGGAATGGCTTAACTGAGAGCCATGTGGCAGCCGCTAGTGGGGTGCTGGGGCACAGCATGCTTAGATTGCAAATTTTGCCTGCGCCCAGCTTTAATCCTGACTTCATTGCCTCCTCTCCCAATGGGAGCTGGTCCAGGGTGGATTTTTAACCTGGATACCCCAGCAGCTTCTTCCAGGCTGTTCTGACAGAGGCCCTCTGGAATCTGGCCCTGAATCGTCCTCCTGGGGACAAGCCTTTGGGACTAAGAGGTGACCAGTGAGTCACCTTAGGGAAGATTGCTAGAGGCAGAGCACGGCCAGGTAGTAGGACATGTGGATGAGTCGATATCGCACTGATTTAGCAAAGGACCATAGAAAAGAACTCTAGAAATCACTAGGAGGGAGCCTTGTCTATCTCCTTCAGCACCAGTCCCTAGCAAGGGTGGTCGTGGATGGTGGTAGGAGGTGTTGTGTAAACTTGACAGTTCCATAAAGGGGACACCAGCTTAAGACTGGCCTTCCCCCATCCTCTCCAGGTGCAGCATGGTTCCCCCAGGTCTGTCGTTCATAAGGACCCTGTGCAAAATTGCGGTAGGGCCTCTTGGTGACTCCCGGAGAAGCAGGCATAAACAGGGGTTTTAGCGCCCACTTTTCCTTACGTAGGTTCCCAAGCGGAGGCAACTTTTGGTCTTCCCACTGCCGGCACTCTGGGCTTCTGCAGGCGTTCGGCAGCCAGACACACAGAGGGGCTGCCATCCATCCTCTCCGACGTTCCTTTCACTTCCAGGCCTGCCGGCTTCCCACCCGGTGGCGGGTCGGGCACGTGCCAATATCCGCGCCCCCTCCTGGGCAGTCGGGGATGCTCCGCGGCGCTGCGGGCTGCCCAGGAAGGGAATCCCAGAGGAAGCCATTGTTGTCACGTCCCCTGCTGTCGTCATCGGCCTAGGCGTGCCTAGGAGCCGGTTCCCCATTCTGGAGCTCTCCCTGGCCACTGGGGGCGACTCCGGTCTCTGGAGTGCAGGATGGCTCTTTGCCCGCCCCCCCCCGCCCCCCAGCACCAGCGCAATTGGAATCAGGGGAACCCCAGGGCAGGCAGAGAGTTTAGAAAACCGACGGCGCTGGGCATGATTTGCCTGGGCGCTGGCTTAGCTGAACAGGGAGGTGATGTCCACTCTGGCTCTGACGTGGGCCAGCAAGGTGACCTTGGCCCGGGGCTTCCCCTCGGCTTGTCCTGAGACAAGAGCTGAGGCCCCCAAGACTGTAGGGGAGATTGGGAGGCGAGGCACGGGTGCAGAGGAGAGTCCGACAGTGGCCTCGGGCGCGCGTGGGCGGAGGCCCGCACCAAAGGCATGCAGACCCTTTCCTGCTCGGCTTCGCCACTCACTACCCTCCCTTTGCGCATGCCACCCCGCAAACCTGGCGCCAGCCTAGCCGCACTCTCCCCCGCCGGAACAGCCAGCCCGCTGCCCTGCCGGTTTTGCCTAATCCGTTTTAAACCTCACCTCCTCCGCGAAGCTCTCCCGGGTTAACCCCATCACTTCCAGGCACTGGCGTGCTCACGGTTTCTTTGATTTTTCAGTTTTTTTTTTTTTCCGAGACAGGGTTTCTCTGTGTAGATTTGCGCCTTTCCTGGGACTCACTTGGTAGTCCAGGCTGGCCTCGAACTCACAGAGATCC